AAGTCCTCGTAGAATTAGCTAAGGAAGTGCCTGAGAAGTACCTCGCCAAACGAACCGGGGTTATTTCCCCTGGTTGGAGCGGAGGGGGGGGGGGGTGAGGTGATCGTGATCGTGATCATGATCGTGATCGCGAGCCGGGTCTTGATCACGCCAGTGTTCGGGACGCCAGAGTCGGCTTGACGGACCACCGCACGCCCGAGTCGGACTCGTTATGGACGGCATCTTGGTCCACGCGGCACGGCTGCGGGATGTGGAAAGTGAGGGCAGTGCGGAGGTGGCAGCGGCGACGGACGAGCCTGTGGCGCGGCTGGCGGCGGCGTATGCGGCACTGGCGGCGGCGAGGCTGGCTGAGGCTGAGGCCAGAGCGGCGGTAGGCGAGGAGGCGGCGGAGGCGACGGTGGCGGCGACGGCAGGACCGGCAAGCGAGGCGCTGGGTCCATTGGCACGGGCGGACGGGGTGGCGGCGGCGGGCGAGGTGGCGGGCGCGGTCGAGGCAGCGGTGGCGGTGGTGGTGGACGAGGCCGGGGTGCTTGTGGCGCGGCTGCAGGCGATGGCGGAGCCTGGGCCTGCGGTGGTGGTGGCGCCTGAGGCACAAGCGCAGACGGCGCGGCTGGCAGCGGAGATGCGGGTGCTTGTGGAGGCGTTGCCGCGGCACATGCGGGCGGTGCAGCGGCTTGCACACGCGCCGGATGCAACGGCGAGAGTGGACGGCCCAGCCGGGCGGCTGGCCGAGGCGCACGCGGCGCTGGCGCGCTACCGCGAGGCGTTTGTGGCGGCACGCGAAGCGCTGCTGGAAGCGACAGGCGCGGGGAGTTTAGTCGATCTCGGCGATGGGGTCGAGGAGCGAGGCTGACGATTCGCCGAGCTCAATGTCGGCCGAGGTGGGCGGAATGGCGTGCTCGAGCGGCATGGCCATGAACGAGTCACGGCGGGTCGGGCGGTTCTTGGGCACGCGGACGGCCACACCCAAGGCGGCGGCATGCGCATCGCCGGCTTGGTTGCGGCGACGGCGGCGGACGACAAAGAGGGTGGCAACGGCAGCAGCGACGACAACAACGACCGCCAGCGAGACGACCGAGGCGAAGAGCGGGCGGTCGGCGACAAAGGCAGCGGCGCCGGTCGGCTTGGGCGCGGCGGCGTCGTGGATGCCGGCGCTAGCGCCCTGCGCCCCGGAGACGACGCCGGTGGCACAGCGGAAACGGGCAGTGAGCAGAGTGGCGTCAGCCTGTACGGCGATGACGGTGCCTACCTGCTCCCGGCCAGCCAGCACGCCAGTCCAGGTAATCGTCTCCTGCGGCTCGGATCGAGTAAAGGTCTCGAGGGTGAGGCCGAGCGAGGTCGGCGAAGGAATGTCGAGCGAGCCGGAGAAGGCGCCGCCTGCGGGAGTTGCGGCGGGGACGGCGTGCATGGTGAGCAGGCCGGAAGCCGAGGTGACGGCGGACCAGAGCTCGCCGGGCTCGCCGGTGGTGCCGTCAACAAAGACCGGACCGGCGAAGATGTCGGTGGATGTCGCCGGCTGGGCATGGACCTGCTCGACGGTGAGAGACACCGAGTCGACAACCACGACCGAGTACTGGTTAGCAGAGCTGACAACGTTGTTCACAAAGTCCCAGGTTCCGACGGCGCCAAAGGCGATGCGCTCCGAAGCGTGGTCGACGACGGTCATGCCGGTGCCGCGGTAGGGACGGCTAAAGTCGCCACCAAACTCGATGCGGCCGTTCTCTATCAGGCTCGAGCCCACCAGGCTGTACTTGATGAACGACGAGGAGCCAAACGAGTGGTGGAAGACAAAGACATAGTTGGCTGTGGAGACAACCGCCACCGAGTTCTCGTAGAAGAGAAAGTCTGAGGGACCGTGGATCGGGCGGGTGTGTGCAACAAGCTCGAGAGTCGACGAGCCGACTGGCCGCAACGCCACAAGTGTTGAGGAGACTGCGGTGATCGGGTTGCTCACGCCAAGAACAGCGCCACTCGACTCGACGAGGACAAACACGTCGTGCAACGGCGAGACGTCCATGTGTGTGACGAGGATGTCCGCGGCGCTGGGCGGGAGCTCAAAGTATGCAGCGGGCGGGAAGGTGTTGGCGAGCAGGTTGCCGGTGTTGATAGCCGAGACCGGGACGGTGACGTCAAAGGCAGCCACGACGACGCGAGACGCCGCGACGTCGGCGAGCGGCAAGCCGGAGAGGCCAGGTCCCCGGACATCCACAGCAACATACAGCGTGGTGCCGTCGGCCGAGGCCGCGCACTGCACACCGTCGACGACACCCGCCAGAAAGTTGGCGTACATCACCTCGTTTGTCACATCGCGGATCACCACCAGCACGCCGGCCTGCGACGTGATCGATGAGCACGTCGCCACCGCGCCCACAGCGTAGGTGCTGGGCATGACTGCGACACCAGATCCGCGCGCAGAAGATCCTGTTTCCAAAGCCTCGGCTTCAACAAAGACCGCATCTTCGGGAGTGGGGCAGCCGGTACTAGGGGTCGGGGCCGGAGTCGGGGCCGGGGTGGGGGCCGGGGTGGGGGCCGGGGTGGGGGCCGGGGTGGGGGCCGGAGTCGGGGCCGGAGTAGGAGCCGGAGTCGGGGCCGGAGTCGGCGCAGGCGTCGGGGCTGGAGTAGGAGCCGGAGTGGGGGCCGGAGTCGGGGCCGGAGTCGGGGCTGGAGTAGGAGCCGGAGTGGGGGCCGGAGTCGGCGCAGGCGTCGGGGCTGGAGTAGGAGCCGGAGTGGGGGCCGGAGTCGGCGCAGGCGTCGGGGCTGGAGTAGGAGCCGGAGTGGGGGCCGGAGTCGGCGCAGGCGTCGGGGCCGGAGTAGGAGCCGGAGTGGGGCCCGGAGTCGGCGCAGGCGTCGGGGCCGGAGTAGGAGCCGGAGTGGGGGACGGAGTCGGCGCAGGCGTGCTATGGCATGAGTTCTTACCACTCGAGCTCTGCTTGCATGACGACTTGTCCGTGCTCTTCTTGGTCCCCGAGGACTGTTTCGTGTCCTTGGAATCCTTCGTATCCTTCGTATCCTTCGTATCCTTCGATCCCTTGGAACCCTTGGTATCCTTGGTATCCTTCGTACTCTTGGTATCCTTCGTACTCTTGGTATCCTTCGTACTCTTGGTATCCTTCGAGCCCTTCGAGCCCTTCGAGCCCTTCGAGCCCTTCGAGCCCTTCGAGCCCTTCGAGCCCTGCTTCAGGTGTTAGTTCCCCAGAAAAAAAAATGGCAACCACGAGGATATCCACGCACGCATGATACGTTTGCAAGCTAACTTGCCCACCAGGCTCTGCACGCCCTCCAACCCAACGACCCCCTCACACACCATCTGCAGTGCCTGACATGTGCAATATGACACACACCAAGTCCACTTCCCCTCCCCCCTCCCCCCCCCCCCCCTTCCCCTTCACCACCGTCCCCCCCCCCCCCCCAACCCCTTGGTCAACGACGTGGCCGACCAAGCCACCATCCCACACGTACTCTGGTCACCACCAGGTTGTGGCGACGGAGCGGCTCCTCGGCGGCAGAGCGGTCACGGAGGCGAGCCAATGTAGAAGCAAGCACTGCTGCAGTCTCGGCGACAACCTCTTCATGGTCGTCGTCGTCACCGGCTGCAGCAGGCTCCTTGCTAGGGTGTGGCAAGGCGACCTTTGCCACCCCCTCGCGAACACCACCAGCGAACAAGCCAACACCTTGGGCTGCCTCGTCCTCGGCATGCACATACGCAACATGGAGCAGAACAACAGCAACGGCCACACAGGCCATGCCTACAAACGTTGCTGCTCTCATGATGGCGAGCCGAGATGAGTATACCTTGAGTATTCTGGCTCTGGCTTCTCCCCCTCCCCCCCCCCCCCCCCCACCCCTACACATCTAGGTATGAAGGCATTCGGACACGCCAGACCATATGCCCGACAAAACCTCACAGCACACCGATCACCGCCATCACAAGCTTGCCAATGCCAATGCTTGATGATGCGCGACAACAAGTTGCGCGAGATGTACGATGACGAGGTCGCAGCCTTGGGAGCCCGGCTCAATTCTCGATGCTGTTGACAACATCATGCACGTCACGTCACCGAGTTCATACATGTGTGGGAATCAGTTTAATGATGCAGACTAGAGGGTCCACGGCCAGCCGAACGTCGGACGAAGCCCCTGACAGTAGGCAGGGACTGTCCGAGCCCGTCTGGGCGCAGACTTACTCGTGAGCCTCGTCATGCGCGTGAAGCGCTTGGACTTGGGGCCTGGCCTGAAGGCCAGGGCGTGGATCGGTCCGAGTTCATACAGTCAATGACAATCTGCCCTATTTTGCTGATCTCCTTCCCGCTGCAAACCCTATCACTCTCTCTCGCACACTATGCGCCATCCACCACCTTGACAACCATGGCAACCAACTTTTTATATCCATCACTTTCTCCTCTACCCTACGATACGTTCATCTCTTCGCTCGGCTCCCACGATGACCTCAACTACCTGTCCCTCGCACCGCAACGTTTGCAACGACTGGCCAAATTGGTGCGCGAGTTGGTACCCACACCTCTCCGCCGTTGCACGGTGCAGCACTTGTACATGATCGCCAACCCGCGGTTGCACCTGCCATCAATACATCAGACGGCTGTGGCGGCTGTGGTGGTGGTGGTGGTGGTGATGGGAGCGAGCCTGGCCGTGACGCCTGCCGACGGCGCTGCGGTTGAGCTCCACCTTGCGGCTTACAACGCGCAGGTGTGGGGCGTGACCAAAGCCGGCAAGGCCGAGGTGGTAGAGCGGACGGTGGCCATTATCCGACGGTACCACATGGTGTTTTTCCAGGAGATCCGCGATGCATCGCAGACAGCCATCTTTGTCCTGCTCGACGCGGTCAATGCCGCCGTCGCCGCTGATGGCCGAGAGTATCACTACGACATGCTGCTCTCGCCGAGACTGGGTCGGACATCGTCCAAAGAGCAGTATGCGTACATCTTCCGCAACAACTCGGTGGTGGTCGACTCTGCCGGGGTCTTTGACGAGAGCCTCCTCTCGCACGCCGATGTCTTTGAGCGCGAGCCGTACCTGGCGTCGTTCCGGGTTCTCGGCGCGGCGGCGAGTGCGCCGCTCCTCGACTTTGTCGGCATCCACGTCAAGCCATCCGACGCCATCTTTGAGCTCGGCAACATGTCTGCCGTCCTTGACACCCGCCCACGCCCAGCCATTGTGCTCGGCGACCTCAACGCCGATTGCTCGTACCTCTCGGTCGCCGAGGCCACTTGCTGCGTCCCACTCTACGCCGATCCTGACTACACTTGGCTCATCGATTGGTCGGTCGACACCACCGTCAAGTCGACGCATTGCGCCTACGACCGCTTCATCCTCCCGGCGCCCTATCTCCCTTTCCTCCGCCCGGGATCCGCCGTTCCTTTCGACTTTGCTGCCGCCTTCGGCCTCGACGCTGCTGCGGCCGAAGACGTCTCTGATCACTACCCCATCGAGCTTGTCCTCGACTACCCGGCTGCTGAGGCCGTGCCGCCCGGGCCACCCCCACCGCCACCACCATCGCCCACAGCGCTCCCGCCTCCACCTGCCTCAACCACCACCCCCGCCTCGACTTCTATATCGAATGGCACAGTGCCTGCTCCGTCACCGTCGCCGCTTGTCACCTCGTCAGGCGCTGTCGTCATTGCCGCCGCTATCGGCGTCGGCTGCGTCATCGTCACCGCCGCCGTTGTCGTCTTTATCCTCCATCGCAAGAACCGGCTCTGCTTCGCCATTCCCAATTACGACCTTGACACCATGCTCGACGCCTACGGCCCATCTGCCAGCGAGCCGTAGTCCGCCCCCCCCCCCCCCCCCTCCCCCCCCTCACCAGCCTGAATGAAGCCCCCGGCCACCCACCCACCGCACATGCGTCACACGCCCGACACCAGCACGACCAGGACCAGCAAGACAACCAGGACCAGGACCAGCAAGCACCCCCCGCCCAACCCAATACCACCCCACTCCCCACACGTATACCCCCCCCCCCCCCTCCCACCCGTTTGTGGTCAATCTGGTGACAAACAAGAAGCTGGGCAAGAAGGCGGTGACACAGATCGATGTCATGACCGAGGAGCGGGTCATGGTAGCACTGGCAGACACTTACGTCCACATCCTCCGCGCCGACGACATCGAGGTCATTACCAAGCTCTCGGCCACCAAGGGCGCGTCGTCGTATGCCCTCGACGCCTCAGGCCTCACACCACGCCTCGCCGTCTGCACGCGCAAGAAGCTGCTTTTCTTCCGCTGGGCGCCCGAACAGGGCACCTTTGCCTTTTGGAAGGAGCTGGTCACGCCGCAGGAAGCCAAGGCCATCGTCTGGGCCGGCGACTCGGTTTGCGTCGGCTTCCGCCGCGAGTACTCGCTCATCCACGTCTCATCGGGCTCGACCACCGAGCTCTTTCCCACCGGCGGCGGCGAGCCGTCGTGCCTCCTTGTTCCCGATGCCAACATCCTGCTCGGCAAGGAGCACCTCTCGGTCTTTGTGGGCTACGACGGCAAGCCGTCGCGCAAGCAGGCCCTCGCCTGGTCCGAGCTCCCGCTTGCCGTCGCCTACTCGTTTCCTTACGTCCTGGGCCTGCTCTCCAAGTCGATCGAGGTCCGCTCCATGCACACCCAGAATCTTGTCCAGGCCATTCCGCTCACCAAGCCACGGTTCCTCACCGCCAAGGGTTCTGCCGTCTATGTCGCTACCACGTACTCGATCTTCCGCCTCATCCCCTTCCCGCTTCCCATCCAGATCAACGAGCTCGTCGAGGAGCGCCTATATGAGGAGGCCATTTGCCTTACCGAAGTCGCCCCGGGCATCGAGTCCATCAAGCGCCAGGAGCAGCTCCTCTACATCCGCATGCTCTACGCCTTTTCGCTCTTTGTCAAGGGCTCATACGACGCCGCCATGCGCCTCTTCTTCCAGCTCAAGGTCAACCCGGCCCAGATCATCTCGCTCTTTCCAGACCTTCTGCCCATGGAGATGCGCCTCGGCTACAAGTACCCGTTCAACATGCCCGAGCTGACCGGGACCCAGCTCGATGCAGCGCTCGAGGCCCTGGTCAAGTATCTGCCGCAAGTCCGCTCCGCCCTCATCCGCCAGGCTCAGTCGCGGACTGCTCGCGCCGCGCTCCTCAAGTTTGAGGCGGAGACCGGTGAGGCCGTCCTGGATGACACTCTTGCAAAACCCGCCTCGGATGCAGCCTCACCCGACGTTGCCGGCCCATCCAGTGGGCCAGAGCTCGACCCGGCCGAAGATACCATCGATCCTTCTCGCATCGTCCTCCTTGGCACCCTCTCCTCCGGCTCGACCATCATGTTTGTCGACCCGGCGGACCCGTCGACCGTCCTCACCCTCTTCCGTGACACCAAGGTCCTCCGCCAGATCGTCGACACCTCGCTGCTCAAGGCGTATCTCAAGGTCCAGCCCTCGCTCGCTCGCTCGCTCCTCCGCATCGACAACGCGTGCCACGTCGAAGAGTGCGAGGACGTGCTCATCAAGGCCGCAAAGTTTGAGGAGCTCGTTCTCCTGTACAAGTCCAAGGGCCTTCACCGCAAGTCACTCGAAATGCTCCGCAAGCTCGCCAAGAACCACTCGACGGGCCCCATGTCCGGTCCGACGCCGTCCATCGAGTACCTACGTGACCTTGGTGTCGACCACCTCGACCTCATCCTCGAGTTCTCCGTCTGGATTCTCGCCTCGCACCCCAAGTCGGCCCTCTCCATTTTTACCCACGACAACGAGGCCGTCCGCTCGTTGCCGATGGACTCCATCGTCGCCCACATCGAGTCGCATGCTCCAACGGTGGCTCAGGCCTACCTCGAGTACGTTGTCTTTGACCGCAAGTCTACCTCGAGCAAGCTGCACAACAAGCTTGCCTTTACCTACCTCAACGCCGTCGTTACAGCGCTCAAGGCTGCGCCGCGGGCAAAGTCGGCTGGCCCGGTCAAGGTCGCCAACGAGCGCGGAACGCTCGCCACCGTTCGCGGCCAGCTCCTCGACTTTTTGCGTGCCTCTACCCACTACGAGCCCGCCCGCATTCTCTCGCGCCTTGCCCAGCTGAAGCTCGAGGAGACCGAGCTCTACGAGGAGCGCGCCGTTCTCCTCGCCGGCCTCGGCTCGCACGAAGAGGCTCTCATTATCTACGTCTACGGCCTCGCCGACCACGACATGGCCGTCGAGCACTGCAACCGCTACTACGACCCCGAGCTCGAGAGCCACCGCGATGTCTACCTCACCTTGCTCAAGGTCTACCTCGCCCCGCCAGAGACCATCCCCGCCCAGCCCGAGCCCGCCATGGACCTGCTCAACGCCTACTCATCGCGCATCGACATCCCGCGCGCCCTCGAGCTCCTCCCACCCGACACGCCACTCGCCTCGCTCCTCCCCTTTTTTGACGCTGTCCTCAAGTCGAAATCCGAGCTCTACCGCCGCAACCTCGTCCTCCGCAACCTGCTCCGCTCGGAGAACCTTCTCGTCCGCGAGCAGCTCATACAAGAGCGCTCGCGCTATGTCGTCATCGAGGAGAACCGCATGTGCGGCGTCTGCCACAAGCGCATTCTCTCCTCGCAGTCGTTCGCCGTCTACCCCAACAACGTCGTTGTCCACTACCGCTGCGCCTCCAAGGACCGCGATGTCTGCCCGGTCACCGGCATTCGCTTTACTGCCAAGAAAAGTAAAAGCCACACGGCCTGTTACGGCCGCGGACACACAAACTCCTCGCCGCGTAGCGTCCACACGGCGTCCGGCGGCGGCGCTGCGCCGGCCCACAGCAAGCCGAGACCGCCGACCCGGAACAGCTCCTTGCCGCTCGCATCGCGCCACACGCTCGTTGCTGCGCCGCCGGCCACCAGCCAACTCTTGTGCACACACCGCACCATGTCGACCGGCGGCGGCTCGCTGCTGTTCGTCGCCACCATGCCCAACACTGCGTAGTGCTCCGACGGTGCCACGCCGCGCCACACGTAGACCTCGGTCTTGCCGCGCGTGCACTTCCACGCAAGATGCCATCGCGCCACCGGCGGCGCAAAGAACGCAATGACCTCGCCCAACACATCCGACTTTTGGAACCGTGTCACTGACCGGTCGCGGACCACCAGCGAGTACACTTCGCCCTTCTTTGGCGCCTTGTGAGACGATGCTGCGGCGTGGCCCACCACCACAGCCTCCTTGTTGCGTGCCTTGAGCATGCCGTCCTTGGGTGCCCAGATCGAGCCCTTGGACTTGGCCATCGAGCCCTTGGAGTTCCACACCTCGGTAAAGTCCTTGCACACCTCCATGCTCACCTCGATCTGCGCCAGCACATCGCTCGCCACTGGGCAGGAGCCTGGTGCGCCAACTGCCGTCGACGGTCCAGGCGCATCGCTACTTCCGGCAGGCGCGGTCACAGCCGGCACGACCGGAACAACCGGCACCACCGCCCCAACCTGGGCAGGCCCGTCGGCCACGCTCGCCACGTTGGCCGACCGCGACCACTCCTCGTCGTCGGGATCGGTGAAGGTCTCGCGGAACTCAGCAAAGTCGATACGTCCGTCACGCGACACATCCATGGCCTGCACAAGATCCTTGAGCGAGCCCGGCGTCATGTCGAGCCCGAGCCACCGGAGACCGGCGTACAGCTCGTCGGTCGTGAGCACGCCGTCGGCGTCGTGATCAAACGCCCGGAACGCGTCGCGAAGGAAGAGCCCACGCGCACGCATCAGCGCCCGAATCCGCGCCACTGTTGCCCGGAACTGGAGCAGGTGGAACTCGTCCTGCGTCACAAACAGCCGCGCTAGCGGCGTCTCGTGCCACGGTGCCTGCGACCGCCGACGCGCCGCCCGCGCCCGCTCAAAGAACGCCGCCCGCAGTCCGAGCTCGTTTTTCTGCAGCGCCCGCAGGAGCATGTTGAGTGCCTTGTCCGCGTAGTCGGTGTCCGAGTCAAAGTACCGCAGCACAGACTCGGCCATCAGCGCCTGGTACGGCGACGCCGCCCGGAAGCCGGGCGTCGCGTCTAGGACTCGCGAACCAACCCGGAGCGAGAACCCGAGTCCATTCACATTCTCGCCAAACACCCCGCCCAACGAGCCGCTCGTCTTGGCGAGGTGGATTGCCCGCCGCAGGCTGGCCGCCTCGGCAAGGTCGACCGCCACAAAGTGCCGGCTCTCATCCAGCCCGTAGAACGTATGGCCCGCCATTGCGGCCTCGAGCTCTTCCAGCGACAGCCGCCCATCGCCGTCGCCGTCCATCACCGCCGCCACCGCACCTGCACCGCCGGACGCGACGTCGACGTCGAGCGCCTTGAGCAGCTCGCGCGTCTCACTCGCGCTAAGGCTCCCATCGCCGTCGGTGTCGTACAGCGCAAACGCAGACTGCAGCGCCTCGCGCTGCCCAGGCGTCAGACCGCCACCATCGGCCTCGCCTCCGCTTGGGGTGCTCGTCGTCGGCACCAGCTCGAGCACCACCACGACGTTCTTGATCCGGCGATACTTGCTCGACCCGCTCCTCACACCCTCACTCCACGCTGCAGGGTAGTAGTTGTTCGAGAGGCCGACAAAGGCCGGGAAAGCCATCACCGGCGACGGCCCGGCCTTGGTCGCCACGCTAAAGTCGGAGAGCGGATACAGCGGGCTCGAGCTGCCAACACCGGTGTGCTCTGCCAGCTGTGCAAGCGTGTAGGTGTGCGGACCCTCACCGTCTCGGGCGTACTTGACTGCCGCCGCCTGCATGGGCACCCGCTCCTGCTCCTTCTCGATCTCCATCTCCTGCTCCTGCTCCTGCTCCTGTTCCTGCTCCTGCTCTTGCTCCTGGACCTGCTCAGAGCCAAACGAGCGCTCCTTGGCGTCGTCGGCAGCGTCACTTTCAGCCGCGGGAGCCGCCTTTTCAGTCGCCGACACCATGGAGATAATCTCGGAAGCGGTTGACGATGCCTGGGCGCTGAGGAACGGTGCATGGTCCGCCACCGCAGCTTCAAGCTTCTGAGTGTACGAGGTCAGCTGCGGCACGCAGTTGGCCACCGACATGTCAACCGGCTCACGGAAGAGGGCGAGCGCGTCGCTCGGCACACTGGCGAAGGTCTTGTCGGCGGTCAGCTGGCCAAACGCGGCCTTGCGCCACAGGTTTCCGAGGTTCTGCTCACACAGCAAGTTAAACTGCAGCTTCTCCGACTTCATCTGGTTGATGTTGAGCCACGCTGCGACGTTGGCAAGCATGTCAGTTCGCGCGGCCCCACGGCTCGGTCCGCGGCCGGCTGCCACCTGCCGCTCGATGAGATTTGCAACCTCTGGGATGATGAGGATATCCAGGGTCTGGCCCTGACCAATGCCGCGCATGCGGAATGCGCCCTGCGCATAGTCGCGGAAGGTCATGTCCTTGCCGAGCGTGATTGCCGCCTTTGCCGTAAAGTGCTGCTTGATGTCCATGCCGGTGGTGTGAACCTGGTCGTAGAACGAGAAACGCTTCGCCTTGGCCACGCCGCACGCCGCAAGCTTCATCACCTTGCGTCCGGCCCGGAGCAGGATCATCTTGCAGTCAGCCTCGTCGAGGTAAACCACGCCATCCATGCCCTCGAGACCGGCGTCGAGCAGGTACTCGGCCACCTCGTAGTTGGAGTAGCCAGTGACGAGGGCGCCAGTATCAATGAGCGCGTGGTACGGCGGGTTCGCCTGCGCCACAGCGTCGAGCACTGACTTGACGGTCCAACCCGGCGCAAGCACACGATGGGTCATCACCTGCGGCGAGGTGAGGAAGTGCATGATCTTGCCGTCGTCGCCGCGCTCAAAGTGGCACTTGCCAAACTCGAGCGGAACAAGATCCGACGGTGTGCCTGAGAAGCCAACCCGCCGGCCAAACAGGAGCTCGCCGCCAAGCTCCTGACCCGAAGCCGAGAGCTTGAGCGTCTGGAACGACATGGTCTCCGGGAAAGCGTGCTCAAAGAGGTACCACGCAATCGCGGTTGCCGACGGCGCCAGGAGCTTGTACAGCAAGCCCATCTGCTCGGCGTCCTTGAGGTCGAGCAACTGCAGCGGCCAGAGGTCAGTGAACTCCTCGCCAGCCGGCGCGATTTCAACGCCAGGCCGCCGCTCGCCAACCTCACCGCCACCGCCACGGACTGTACCGCCGGCGGCCTCAACCCACTCGCGGTACTTGACGACCGATGGCCGGTTTGCGTACGGCCCATACTCGTGGATCATGCACCCACGCAGCGAGCTGAGCACTGTCTTAAAGTCGCTCCACCGAAGGCCCTCGTACCGGTACGCAAGGATGGAGAGGCCGATGACAATGTCAGGGTGCGAGAACTCGGACGCTTCAGACGGCCGGTCCTTGCCCACAAATGGCACTGCGAGCAGCTTGCGCGACGTTGGCATGAACGATCCGCGCTTGGCAGCGAGCGCAATGTCGCTCGCCGCGAGTAGACCATACGACACGCGGTTGATTTTGGCAAGTGCATGGGGCAGAAACGAGGTGAGCCACTCGTGTCCGAGATTAAGCATTTTGAGCGCCTCGTCGTCAAGGTGCGCGCTCGCCTTGGCCACCACTTCGCTTGACGCCCGCGACCCGCGGAGCAGGTACTCGCCGACTTCCTCGGCAGAGAGCGCACGGACGCCGTGGTCGACCACCCAGAGCGCAGTCCACTGCGCGAGCAGCGGAAGCAGTTCGCGGGTGAAGAACGCCTTGTCGAGCACCACCACGTGCGGCGTCATCTGCAGCGCTTGGCTTGCGGCGCCCGCATCGATGGCCGCCTTGATGGCCTCGAGCACCCGCAGCGCCACCCGCGACTCGCCGTAGTCGACCGTCAGCTGGCCGGTCTGGGCGTAAAAGATGGCGTCGAGGACATGCCATGGCAGCTGCCACCGCAGGCCCGCCGACGTAAAGTCGAGTGGCTCCTTGGCACCGAGCGGCCAGTTGAGCTCCGACTTGAGTGGGTGCAGGATCCAGTCAACCTCGTCGAGGAGCTCCACGCCGGTGTTGAACAGGGAGAGAATGTCGACGCAGACCTGGGCCTGGGCCTTGAGCTCGGCCACGGCCTCGGACGAGACCCGCGAGGACCAGGTCGAGACCGAGGTTGTCACCGATTTGGAGACCGACTTGAACCAGCCGGACATCTTGGCCGACATCGAGTCATCACTGGTTTGCGGCGCGGGCCCGGTGCCACCCTCAAACGCGCCCTGCTGCTCGAGCATGTGCATGAGTTCCACAAACTTGATGGCAAACGACTTGAGGCTCGACGGAGTCGAGACCACAACCGCATTGGTCTCGCGCGCCTTGAGGAGCTTGGCGTGCAGCTGCGGCGTGACCGGCGTCGAGCGTGTAAAGACAAAGGTGTAGACCGGCTTACAGATGAGCGAGGAGAAGCGCTCGCGCATGACGCCACGAGAAAACTCGAGCAGTGCGCCTGGCACACACTGGACCACCAGCGTCGACTGCGAGCCAAGGAGGAGCGCAAGGAGGGGGCCAACCACCGTTGTCTTGCCCGCACCCATGATCATCTGGTGGCAGAGCGACGAGCCGGCCTTGAATGCCGCCTCAAACTTGGCCACGAGCGCCACCTGGGCGCCACGGAGCATGATGTTTGTCGCGTACTCAAACACGAGGTACCGCGGGTCGTAGCCATAGTCGGTCCGCGACACATAGTGCCGCTCGGTCGCCAGTGCACCAGCCAGCGAGGAAGCCTTGAGCACCAGGCCCTGCTGGAGTGTGTCAAGCTCGGGCGAACCGGCCAGAGCCGGACCGCGGACTGCCAGTTGGCGAAGCATCTTACCTAGCTCTTGCGCCGCTGAAATGGCTCGCGCCGTCTGGCCAACTCGGTTGACAAGAAGGAGGACGCTGGCAATCTGCTGCTCCAGTGCCGCGAGTTGGTCACGGTCGAGGAACGGGTTGAACGCACTCAGCTTGCCCACGCCCTCGTTGTCGAGCATCCACGCCACCAGCAGCTCCATCCATGCATGGAGCTGGAAGCCAGCATCCTGCAAGAGGCCAAAGACAAGCCGGTCACGCGAGCCCGACCCAACGTTGTTGGCAGCTTCGAGGAGGGTGAAGATGAGCTCCAGAGCGCGCTGGGTATCGCTCGAGTGCTGGGTGACAAGAACGGCCTCAATGTCCGCGACCCAGGCGGCAGCGGCGTTGACACCAGAAACTGAAGACTGGACACCGGCGGCGAGCGCGCCAATGTTGGCGGTGGTGAGCTTGGCGAGCTGCGGCGCCGTCGCACTGTTTGTCCGCGTGGCAAAGTACTCGCAGTCGCCGGCGAGCCGCTCGATCATGGCCGACGCGATGTGGCTCTTGGCGTACGGATGGGCCGCCACATCAAAGGGAAGCGCAGCGTCGACTGGTTCGGCAACAGCCGGCAGCTGGACCACATACTTGTCGAGGCCGAGGACCGAGAGCGGAGCAGCGGCAAAGGCGGCGAGCTCGGCACCCGAAACTGCACTCGACTCGCCCAGGACCCGGCGTGCACAGCCGTACGAGACGATGCGCGGCGAGCCGATGCCAGCCTTGAGAGCAGCGCGCGACGAGTCTGGGACGTCTAGCGCGAGCGAGGTCGGCGGCGAGAAGGTGGCGGCGAGGTTGGGGACGCATGGCCAGGCGAGCGACGACGAGCGGGCGTTGAGGACCGAGTGGATCTGCGAGAGAAAGTCGAGGGTGGCTGAGCCCTTTTGGAACATGCCCTTGACCGCCGACGGAATGTACTTGCTCGAGGTGTCGGCGGCCTTCTTGGCCTGGAGCAGCGCCGAGTACGATGGCAGCTCGCCCGAAGTGGCCACGGCCGGATTGGCCATGCATATGCGCAGAATCGACATAAGGTTCGAGGTCGAGCATGTCTGCTTGGTCGGCGCAGTCCGGACAAGCGCCTCGGCGAGCGCGCTTGGCGAGTCCGACGGGAGGAGCTGGATCTTGAGAGCGCCGATGAGGAGCTCGTAGAAGAAGACAAAACCAAGCGAGGAGTCATCGCCGACAACTCGGAGGCCGGTCGAGAGAGCCTTGACCAGGAACTTGACGGCCGACGCACCAGTTGCTGAGACAGGCGACGCGTACTGCGGGAGCGCTCGCGAGCCTGCCGAGAACTTGGAGACCGACGAGAGCGCCGACTTGTCGACGACGCCGTCAAAGTGGGCAAGCTCCGGATGGGGAGTGGGCGGCGGCGTGAGCGCCATGGTCCCGCGCACCCCACTCTGCAGAACCCGCAGGTACTCGCTGCGGTTGCGGAGAATGTACGAGGCTGCGAGAGCTTGCGGGCCGATGAGGTCGAGGACCTCGCGCTCTTCGTCCGGCGTCAGCCGCGTCGCAATGGGCACGTACTCGCGGCCGCGAACGTAGGCTGCCATCTCCTTGGCCAGGCTCCAGGCGACAGGCATAGCCGTTCGCGACGCGGCAGTGGCCAGCGAGATGCGGAGACGGACAGCGTTGGCGCCGGGCGACTGATCCGAGCCAAGGAACTCAAGGAGCTCAAAGATCTGCGCCTCCTCTGGCGAGAGCGCAGTGTCGGAGACAGCGGCGGCAGCCATGCGTGCCACGCGGTCGTACTGGCGCGACATGAAGCGGAGGAGGAGGAGGTAGAGGGTGGCCGAGAGCGTCGGCGCAATGAGGAAGGTACGCGACGCGTGGACCGCATACAGATACGTCCGCACGTCACCGAGATTACCGAGCCACTCGCGCGATGAGCGGTTGAGCAAAATGCCCGAAGGGAAGGCCTGTCCGGTGTCTGGGCGGGCAGGCATGCACGCGGCAGGAACGAGGACAAAGAGCTCGCGGTTTCCGTTTTGCAGAAGGATAGCATTGCCGAGCCCATCGAGGAGCTGCTCGGTCATAACGCACCGGTGGTTCGAGATGAACAGCCCGGCGTAGTCGTTTGAGTAGAGGACCGGCGCGCCGTCGGGCCCCGGGCGGGCGTCAAACGTCAACCGGAGCCGCGGGAGCTCAACTCGGGCGACCTGTGGCGGGGCATGAGACCAGACCAGGATGTGCGAGAGAGTCTCGAGGCGGGTGAGGACAGCGGCAAGCGAGGCCAGATGCGAGCCAGCCGCCGCCATCATCGGGTTGAGGAGCGTGAGAACCGGTGCGTTCGGATCCGGCTTGAGGAACGCTTGAGCAGCGTTGGGCGGCGGGGCAGAGGACATGTCGTTTGCTCCGACAATGGGAGCGGCGTCGTCGTCGCTTGCTGCAGCGTCGCCCAGTGTGAGGTCGGCACCGTTGTCGATGAGAAGGGTGCGGGTGATGATGCCGCGGGTGGCGAGTGGGTTGTGCTCACCAGAGCTCGTCTCGCCGAGGGCCAGCGAGATGGTGATGAGCGACGGCGGCCGGGTCTCGTCGCGGCTTGCGTCGCCGTCGCACCGAAGATAGCCAGTGAGTGAGTCGTCGTCGTTTTGCCAAAAGGCATACTCGTCCAGAAGCGCGGCTGGCACAATGCCGCGGAGGGTGCGCTCGGGGACAAAGACCTGGCGACCGAGCTGCGCCGTGAGGGTGCGGGTGACCACGACCGAGGGGCGGCGCGGGTAGGCAGCGTCGTAGTCCCCCGAGATGGCCTGGTTGATGCCGGAGCCCAGGGTCATGAGCATGGGCTCGGCGTCCGAGTGGGTGTACTCGGCCGACGACGAGAAGATGAGCCTGCGGTAGAAGCGGCGGCCGTACTCAAAGACATCGTAGATGTGAACGACGGCCGGGTTGCGGAAGACGACAAACTCACGGAGGGTGCGGACGCTCGATGCACCCTTGAGGCCTGGTAAGCGCGAGTCGCCGGCGTCTGGAGCCGAGTCTGCGACGACGGGAGCGTCGTCGTCCGAGTCTCCAGCAAACGGGTCATCGGCGCCCATGCCCTGCGGAGCGGTGGCGTCGAGGGCGGTGCGGACACGGGCAGCACCGATGGCGACACACGCATTGGCGTACGAGCCCTGAGCAAACTTGACGGTGAGGCCCTTGAGCGCAAATGGGGCGATGGGCGCGAGCGCGGCCCGAACCCAGGCCTCCGGCCCAGTGAGCGACGAGAGCGAGCGGGTGAAGAGCGAGGAGGCAAACGGGCGCGGATCGAGGGTAAGCCACTGGTGGACATCGTGGCGCTTGCCGACGAGGCGGAGCCAAGTCCGGTGGACGGTGGACTGGACAAGGACAGCCTGGAGGCGGTCGGCGCCGGAAGCGGACTTGCCGTAGGCGGCGGTAAAGTCTGCGGCTTCACCAATCTCGTCGTCGAGCAACTGCATGGTGTTCTTCTTGAGGGTAAACTCACCGAGCTGGACGTTGATCTCGGTCCCGACCGAGTCTGTGGTGACACGGCGGAGCCAATCCTCGTACGACTCGCCGTCGAGCGGAGCCATGGACGCCTTGAGCGAGTCCTCGGTGTCCGGCACAAATCGGCCAGAGCAGAACGGGCGCGGGAGCGAGGCCCAGTTGCGTGGCGGCGGCGCCGAGGGGTCGTGAACAGCGGCAAGCGAGCCGGCAAAGGTGACGACGCGGATGATGGCCTCAAGGATGGCGTTTGCGGCCGGGGGATGATTCTTGAGGTAGGCCTCGAGCTTGACACGGTGCTTTTGGAAGAGCTCGAAGAGTTCCATTTGGCTGATGTACAGCTCGGTGTTGAGCTTGTCGCCGGGGGCGTCCGGATCTTCGCGCGAGGCACCCTCGTCAGGCGTGCCGTGGCCAAGCGATGTCGGCGCGTCGAGCGAGAAGCGGTAGTTGATGTTGAGGAAGATCTGCGCCGAGAGAAGCGCGGTGGCAGCCTGGTCATCGAGCGACGCCGGGGTGGCGGCCTTGTACAGGTACGCAATGTGGGCATGGACGACGCAAGCGGTGGCGACGTCGCGGTCACGGAGCGCACGCATCCGCCAGCCCTCTAGCATAGAAAAGACGCGGCCGTGAAGGTCTGCTGTGACCGAAGCCGCCAGGTTGGCCAGTGGACCAACGAGGCCGGCTGGAACGGCAAGGTCGCGCGGGAGCTGCAGATCGCGCGGGAGGAGAGCGACGAGGTCGGGGTGGTCGTTGCCAGCGTAGCCGTTGGCGGCGAGTAGAACAAGCATGTACTCGTGGACGCGGACAAGAACGCGGATGACAAAGAGGAGGACCGGCGACGAGGTTGGGGCAAACTTGCCCGTGTCAAGCTCGAGGACGAGGTCGAGAAGCTTGCGGAGGGCGGAGAGGACGACAAACGGCGAGTGTCGGAGCTCGTTGAAGAGGAGGCCGTTTGCGGTGGCAAGGGCCTCGGGGTGGGCGTCGGCGTCGAGCGGAACAGAGTCTGGTGCGTCGGCGAGCGCGTCGGCGTCTGGACGTGCGGCCCATGCGCCGGGCTCAAAGAGAACTGCCTCGATGACATCCTGCAGCTCGAGGGCATCAAGGGCATGAATGCGACCCTCGTCGGCGAAAAAGTCGAGGATGAGCGGGATGCGGATGTAAGGTGCGGTGAGGTAGGAGAGGAGGAGCTCCGAGTCGCGCGAGGTGAGGCGGCCGTCAAAGGTGGGAACGGAGGGGAGGTGGAGGACGTCAGCCTCAGAGGCGATGTCCTCACCAGCGAGGACAGACGGATCGCCACCGGTAGGCGGAGCGCGCGGGAGCGAGACGTGGATGAGCTTTGAGAACTTTGCGCCCCACTTTGCGCCGACGATCTTGGTCACGCCCTTGGCCACGGCCTTGCCGACCTTGCCTGCAGCGAGCTCCTTGCCAAAGGCCGAAACCTTGAACCCATTGGCTGGGTTGGTGTACTTCCAGGCGAGAGCGGCGTCGGCGACACGCCAGCGGCGAAGCGGTGGCAGGGCGTCCGAGGTCGGGGCCATGCAGAGCTTAAAGGTGAAGACGATGTCACGAAAGTAGGCGAGCTGCGGGTAGTTGTCGACGAGCAGCGGGTCTTCGCCAGAGAGGTAGAGCGGGAGGCGGGATGACTCTGCTGGGAAGCCCATGGCGATGCAGATCTGGGAGAGCAGACGGGCGTCACCGGACGAGAGAGTGCGCGACGACTCGTAGCCAAAGATGACGTGATCGTTGTCGAGCATTGCCTCGAGGCCGGTAAAGTAGTCGAGAACCTTTGTGCGGGCCACGACATAGGCCGGCTCGAGGAAGCGCATGGTGCGCGACTCGACGGCAAAGGCGCCGATGCGGAAGCCAAACGGAGCGACCGGACCGGGGGCTGATCCGGCGTAGTGGGCAGAGAAAACGGAAGGGATGTCAGTGGCGGTGACGCGGAGGACGGCATCGGCGACGGCGGCCATGGCGGCAAAGGTGAGGATGCGGAGGGCATCGAGCGAGCGGGTGACCTTGACCGAGAGTGAAGCGGCGGCAAAGTGACGAAAGAGCATGTGGATGAGGGCGACGATGTCCTTCTGGGTCTCGTGGCGCATGGGCGTGTCCCGCCAGAAGCACGGATGATCGATGGCTGGCGGGAGCGGGGTGGGGAGGACGCGAGTGAAGAGCGAGGAGATGAGGGCGACGCGGACGGCGTACGAGTTCTTGACCAGACTCGCCTGGTTGGCGAGGAGGGTCGAGACCGAGACGCAGTGGCGGAGCGCCTGGGCGGCCTCGTCGAGCGTGGTCACGGTCTCGGGTACAAGCGTGAGCTGCATGGGGCGGAGGATGGGCGGCGGCGCTGGCTCGCCGGCGAGATGGTCGACGCTCGAGTCGCGGACAAAGCGGTCAAAGAGCGGCCAAGCTCCCTCGTCGTCGGCGGCGGCGCCAGGCGCGGCCTCGAGCGCAAGCTCTGGCGGGAAGATCGGGTTAGACTTGCGGGCGAGGGTCCATGCAGAAGACGCGAGCTGCTCGGTGATGGCCTTGGCGGTCGCGAGCTGCGATTGCGAAATGAGTGCGTCCGGGACAAGCTGGGCGATGAGGGCGTAGCGTCGAGCAGTCTCGCGGGCAACAACCGAGACAAGGACGTACTCTGAGGGTGAGAGAAAAGGGGCGGCAGCGAGCTGGCCTGTGACAGCCGACGCGATGCTGAGCTTGAGCACGCCGTCCATGACGTCTGCAGCACGGCTGGCGACGCCTGCGGTGCGAAGGAGGTAGCGGAAGGTGGACGCGACGGCGAGGCCGGCCGACGGATCAGGGCCGCGCGGCGGCGGGAAGAACTCGAGGGCGACCGAGACGTCTGGCGAGGCGGCGGCAACATTGACCGGCGTTTGTGCCAGGTGCGGGAGGACGTGCTGGTAGAGCCAGAGCGGGCCGCAGGTCGGCTGCGGGTAGAAGAGCGGGAAGCAGTAGAGGAACCAAAAGGCCGAGTCGTGGACCCGCTCGGCGGCGATGTTGGGGATGGAGAGCGAGCGGGCCCGGAGCTCGGCACCCTCGGGCGGCGCAAAGGTGTGTGGGTGGTACTGTAAGCCGGACCCAGTGTTGGTGAGGGTAAACTCGTAGGTGCCAGGCGTCGTGCACTTGAGCGCACCAACAACCATGTGAGTGGGCGTGGGCTCGGGATCGGCCTCGGTCGGCGGCGGGGCAACCCAGCCGCCCGGGACAAGGAGCACGCCGCCGGGCGGGAGGGCGCGGACGGCAGCCACCAGCTGCTCGAGAAGAGCCACGAGGGCAGAGTCGCGGCGGAACGAACGCGACGAGGCCAGCTCAGCCATCTTGGCAGCAAGCGCCTCGCCGGCGCGCAGGGTGGCGATGGCGGCGTCGATAGTGGCGGGCGGAACGGCAGACGGGACCAGGGCAGCGAGCGCCGGCGACGTCCTCACGGCTTCGGCAGCCTCGGCGATGAGGCCGAGCGCACAGCTGACGTTGCCGAGCGACGGCGCAACCGTGGCACGATAGACTGAAGCCTCGTCGCCGGCATCGCCGCCGTCGAGGTACGGGTCGGCAAAGATGTCGGCGACGGCCGGCTCTCGCCACAGAAACTGTGATCTGCCGGGCGATGCACCTGTCGCGGCGGTGGGAGCAGATGCAGCAGATGCAGCAGATGCAGCAGCAGCAGCAGCGGCGGCGGCGGTGGTAGCCGCGGCGTCGTCGTCGACCGCTGACGACGTCGCCGAGCTGAACTGCGAGTCGTCGACTTGTAGCGTTTGCGACGGTGGAGTGTAGGTCGGGGCAGGCGTGGGCTGGACAAGACCATACTCTTGCGACGTCTCCTTGATAGCAGATGCCGCCGAGTCGTAGGCCTCTTCCGCTTGTTGCTTGAACTTTTTCCACATGGTACGCTTTGTGGGTGAAGAGCTGAGGGTGCACCTGAGACTTGTGACCCGACCCGTGAGCGAACAAAAAAGGCTCAGCGAGCGTTCCGGACAGAGTTTTTGCGTTTGAGCAAACGAGTGGCCGAACGAGTTGTCGTCGGCAAAGGGCGTGGCGTGGTTGGGGGGTGAAAGGGCGAGACAAAGGCACACCGCTCTCGAGTATATTTACCTGGGACGGCGTCAACTTTTGTTCACAGCTCATGGTACGCCAACTCTTCCTTCCTTCTTCCCCCCTCGTCTACCTCCCGGCTCATGCGCTATGCCTCTGCATTTGAGCGCGTGCTTGCGCAGCCTTTCTCTCTCTGTTTCTGTCTGCCGCCATACTGGGCGCAGGGGGGGGGGGGGGGAAGGGGGCTCGCAGCAGAGGGTGTGGGATTATGGTGGCGAATTGTTTTTTTTTGCCTTTGTTTGATTGGAGCACCGACTGCCGTCTGTCGACTACCTTGGGCAAGGCAAGACCAGTCGAGGCTGGAAAGGGTGTGTGGGCGGTGACGAGAAACAGATGTTCATCGCTAGAACCGTTGATGCCTCAAAGAGGCCATGAAAATACACTTCTCTTGGCTGTCTGAGCCCACACACGTTTTCCTTCCCTCCTCCCCCTCCCCCTCCCCCTCCCCTTGCTCCACCCGCACTCACCTGCACTCTCCTCTGGACGCATAGACCCTCATCAGGTGATGGAACGCCCCTGGTCACTGGAAACAGACGGCCAGTGGTAGTGGGAAGGAGCCGGCGGCCCTGCTGTCAACTGGGCGCCATCCGGCGCTCCTTCCTGCCGCCTCGACTGCACCCGACTGCCCTCCACTGGCTGTGTGGAGGGTCCTCTATGACCAGGTCTTCTTCTGGGTACGTATCTCTTTCCGACTCTCTCGCGCGCACACACGCTCTCTCCCCCTGCCCCCTGTGCCCCTGCGCCGCCAAGGACCTGTGATGTTATACACCTTTCGGGACTGATAAGTTATGCTTTGTGCGACAAACTACATACCAAGATCGCTGAGGATCCTTGCCGCGCACCCTTGCTTGCCGCACACCTCCCCACCTCCCCTCTGTCATCCACTCACATGCACACGCACCCTGCCTCCTCCACCACTGCTACAGACCTTGCCGAGTTCGCGGTTGCAATAACACCACTCTCATTCATGTTCGTGATGGTTTGTCTCGCGAGCTGCGCATGCTCACTGCAAAGGTACACCGCAGCATTGACCCTCTCCTCCCCCCCTTGTCTAGGAACAATGATGCAATATACCTTTCGGGACTGATAAGTTATGCTTTGTGACGACAAACTACATACCAAGATCGCTGAGGTTCCTTTCCACACTCCCTTCCTGCTCCCCCCTCCCCCCGTCGCGCGCGGCTGCGCTCCACCTCCTTGCATCCCAACTCACCATCACTCCATCACAGGTAGCCGAAAGGATTCACAAGTACAACGCAGGTGCTTAAATACACACACACACTCGGTTGCCGGCCGAGCGGTCGCTCCGCTGACTCGACGGCTTGAGACTTTCTCGCATTTACTGTGCTGACCATCTTTGCCTCTACATCATGGCAATTGGCACGGTGAACCGCGTGTACTTGAGCGCCCATCGATAGCTCGATAGCTCGCATACACACGATATCAAGGCAAGAATTGGGCGCGCAGATGGCGCCCGTCGTCGTCATCGTCGCGCATCGTCATCAGAAAGGGTGAGCAGGTGGGATTCCGCTCCGTCGGAGCCGACTGTGTCGACGCCATGGGAGCTCTTTGCAAAGTATGGTGTCAGCCACTTCGCTTCGCTCAGCCGGCCGCGAGTGTTGGCGACTCGTAGCAGTGGCGGCAACAGATGCAACTCTATTGTTGACGATGGTACGGCGGAGGTTCATTCGTCTGTCAGCGCCGGTGAGCCGGAGAGTTGGAGTCGAGCGGAGCAAAGAACCGCGGAGCCTTGACGGGCTCGAGGATGTTACGGCTCTTGGTCGGGCGCGACGGGATCGAGTCCCGGGCCTGCTCTGAGCCAGGATCGACCGGAATGCGCGGGAGCGCGTCTGTGGTGGGGTCGGGTTCCGACTCGCCATCGGCCATGGCAGCCTCGGCGAGCTGGGCGCGGCGGAGGCGGGTGTGTGCCGACTGAATAGTGTCAAAGTGGGCCAGAAGGGCAGGCAAGTCGGCGCTTGGCGATGAACTAGCACGGAGCGGATCGGGCTGCGGCTGCGCGGCGCGCGGCGCAAGGGCTGCAGCGCCGGCGGGAGCGCCCGACGTGGTGAGGGCCGACGCAGCCTGCAGGCGTGTGGCGAGGGCAACGTACGCCGACGACTGCGGGAGGAGCATGAGGAGGCCGTAGAGGGCGTGAAAGAGGAACGGATGGACAAGCGGCTTGAGCAGCTGGAGGCGGAGGCGGGCAAAGACCGGTGACTCGAGGAGCTGGATGAGCTTGTCGACCTGGACAAGGAGTTTGACGGTCACCTCGAGCTCACCAAACTTTTGGATGAGCTCAGTGGCGGTCTCGTAAGCCTGCGAGAGAGCACAGAGGGCAAAGGCGGCGACCGGATCGTGGCACCATGCATTGAAGAGAACAACAAAGAGGTCGATGCCGGATCGGGACGGCGCGGCGTCGACGCTTGCGTCGGCAGGCGATGCGCCCATGGCCGCGAGCTTGGCGCGGAGCTGGACAAGCTCGGGTGCAGTGAGGAGGATGAGGTTGAGCTTGGCAACAAGGCTAGAGGCAAAGTCGAGGTGCGGAGAGGGAGCAAGGATGGTGGCAAACTCGACGTAGATGTCCTCAGCGTCAAGAAAGACGGCGAGCTGGCGGACAATAAGTGTGGCTCGCTCGCCGACCAGCTCGGGTGAGGAGTGGAACATGGAGACGAGCTGGAACATGAACGACTCAAAGTACGAGCGCTTGAACGAGCAGAGCTTGGAGAGGACCTCGAGGACGAGTTTGACGACCTTGACGGACGGGTCGTGGAGGGCGGTGAGGAGAGCTTCGACAAGGTGGTCCATCTCGCCGGCGACCGAGTCGGGCGACTTGAGGTGGAGCATGAGGATCCAGCGGAGCGCCGAAGTCCGGGTTGTGGCCCACGGGTTGGAGAGCTGCGATGTGGCTGTGCGGATGAGCGGAGCAAAGTCAAAGGCCTCTTCGGTGACCGACATGAGCGCGAGCAGATGCTGGTTGACGTGGATGGCGGCGAGTGTGATCTCCTCGACCTCGTGCGAGAGGCATGGCAGGACGTTGCCGAGAAGCGGGGCGACAAAGGGAATGATGATGGAGCCACCCATGATGATAAACTTGGAGGCCCAGAGGAGGGCAGTGAGCTGGGTAAACTCACAGTCGGAGCCGGTGTGCTCGACAATGATGGGGACCATGGCTTCAAAGTCGACGGCAGCCTCTGCGTCGGCCTCCTCGATCTCGCGAAGAAACTCAGCGAGCGCGCCGTCGGCGAGCCGACGGATCTCGGCGTTGACGTCCGCAAGGGCGGCATAGAGGCCTGGGAGAAGGGCCGGGAGGTGGTCGAGCAGGTCGATCTGGACCGAGTCGAGCATGGTGATCCAGTTGATGAGTGCCTGCCGCTGCCATGGGTTCTCGGTCTCGAGCCGCGTCGTCATGAGCTCGATGAGCGCCGAAACTGCGACGTCGTCGATCTCGGCCTCGGCCACAATGTCCTTCATCAGCCGGTCGAGCAGCTGTGCACCCGACCGGACAGCCTGGTCCGAGTCAGCGGTGAGCTTGAGGAGGCCGTCAAAGAGCTCGTTAAGGTACTCCATGATGGAGCCGCGCCCGACCTTGGCCACGTTGTACATTGATTCGAGGGCGTAGTACCGGACCCGCGCATCGGCATCGCCAAACGACCGCAAGACCGGCGGGACGAGGGCCGGCAGGTACGGGGCCACAAGAGTCGACGACAGGCCGATGGCCACAGCGGCAAGGCCGATGAGTCCGCCCTTGCGGGCGTTGGGCTGAGTGTTGGTCACGAACCGGGTGGTAAGGTCATCGATGATCTGTACAGGCAAGCGGTGAGTGTGGTTGCCGTTGGAGGGAGAGAGGAAGCGAGTGGTAGAGGGGGGGGGAGGGGGGAGGGGGGGGGGGGGGTGGAGAGGGTCGTACCGAGTGGACAAGGTTGGTCTTCTTGGTCCGCGCATACTCGCGGGTAAGCTGCTCTATCTGGAGGGCCACTAGCTTGCGCTTCTCGTACACCTTGTCAGAAAGCCCGCGCAGCTGTGGCTGCGTGAGCACTGACTCGGTCATGGTGTGGTGGTGTGGTGTGGTGGTGTGGTGTGGTGTGGTGTGGTGTGGGGTGCGGCGGGCGGTGGGCGGTGGGTGGTGGGCGGCGTGTGTGCGTGTGCGTGTGCGTGTGATCTGGAGGAGATCGGCATGTTCAATGATGTCAAGGGCCTGCAGGCGATGCGGCGAGCTTGGCATCGTCATCATCGGGCAAGGGTGGGTCTTGTGTCGGGGCGGGGGTGGGCTCTTGGGCAGGCTCTTGGGTGTTGGAGGTAGAGTCAGAGTTGGAGGCGTCAGCAGGAGGGTTGGGGCCAGGAGCTGCCTCTGCATCGTGGCCGGCGCCGTCGTTGTCTCCATCGTTGTCTCCATAATCTTTGGCGGAACCATGCGCCTCGGTGGGTTCGGAAATGCTGGCACTGGCACTGGGGCCGTCAGGATCGGCGTCGGCGTCAGCATTGACGAAAAGGGCGTCGAGCTGTGGGTACTTTTCCTCGAGGTCGGCGAGAGTGAGGTTGGAGTAGTCGAGCGGGCTCTTGCCGTTCTTGTCGCAGACCGAGAGATCTGCTCCCGACTTGGTGAGGAGGGACATGAGCGAGACATAACCCTTAAAGGAGGCGATGTGAAGGGCGGTCTGGCCGTTTGTGCGGACAATGTTGACCGAGCATCCGGCCTTGATGAGGGCAACGGCGACGTTGACGTGGCCCTTTGAGGCGGCGATGTAAAGCGGGGTGGCCTTGGAGTCCTCGACAGCGTTGACGTCGGCGCCGCCTGCCACGAGGGTGGCGATGCACGAGGCGTGGCCCTCCTGGGCGGCGATGTGGAGCGGCGACCAGCCGTTGCGCTTGCGGATGTTGACCGAGGCGCCGGCAGCGACGAGGGTCTTGAGCACGCCGACGTGTCCACCGCGGGCGGCAATGTACATGGGCGTCTCGAGCGAGTCCTCGATGGCGTCGGGTACAGCGCCGGCGTCAAGGAGAGCACGGGTGACGTCGGCACGGCCCTCCTGGGCGGCGTAGTGCAGTGGAGTCATGCCGTCGCCATCCTGGATCTCGAGCGGGGCCGAGGCGGCCAGGAGGGAAGCGACGACAGCGGTGTGGCCCTTGTACGACGCAATGTGCAACGGGGTCTGGCCCTTGGAGCGCTGGTGGCTCGGGTTGGCACCCGCGGCGAGGAGCAGGTCTAGGGCCGGGGCGTGGCCCTCGCGGGCGGCGACGTAGAGCGGGGTCTCGAGAGCGTCCTCAGGAATGTCGACCTGGGCGCCGCCGTCGAGCAGGAGGCGGACCACCTCTGTGTGGCCCTCCTGAGCGGCGTAGTGCAGCGGAGTCATGCCCTCCGAGTCCTTGTCGTCGACTTCGACGCCTGCACCGAGCAAGGCGTCGACGATGCCGGCGTAGCCCTTGTAGGCGGTGATGTGGAGGGCGGTCTGGCCCTCTTTCTTGGAGCTGACCGACGAGCCGGCAGCAAGGAGAGCCTTGACAAGGGTGACATGGCCCTTGGAGGCGGCAATGTAGAGCGGGATGGCGTCCGTTCGCTCGCGGGCGTTGACATCAGCGCCGGCTGTGAGCAGCTCGGCGACAACATCCTCGTGGCCGCCTTGGGCAGCGATGTGGAGAGCGGACCAGCCGTCTTCGTCGGTGGTGTTGACGTCGGCGCCGGCTTTGAGCAAGGCTTGGGTCATGACGACCGAGCCCTTAAAGGCGGCAATGTACAGCGGGGTCTGGCGGTTGCGGGCCACGGCGTCGACGTTGGCGCCGGCCTCGAGGAGAGCCTGGACGACTGGGGTGTGTAGGGTGTTGACGGCGTAGTGAAGAGCGGTGAGGCCGTCGCCATCTGCAGCGTTGATGTCGACGGGCGCGACAGGGCCATCGGACGTGGTGAGGGAGCGGACAAGCGGGGTGCGGCCGTACATGGCGGCGTGATGGAGAACGGTGAGGCCCATCGAGTCGGTAACGGCGCCCGGCAGGCCAAGGCCGAGCAGCCACTCTACGAGATCCCACGAGTCGCGGGCGGCGAGCGAGGCGACGTGCGCGGCAAAACCAAGCATGTCGAGCAGAGCGCGGGTGTGGACGACGGGTGAGTCACGCGGCGCCCAGGCCAGCTCCCACATGTACGACTGGACAAACGAGCGCAGGTCGACAAACTTGTCCGACGCCGTCCGGCCGAGCAGAGGGAGGCGGATGCCCAGCGGGCCGGCAATGTCGGCGATGGCCGAGTGGGTGGCAACAAGGTCGGCGTGGGTGACAGGGCGATCCCACTTGAACGATGGCGCTACCACGGTGAGCATGTACTTGGTCTTGTCAGCAGCCTTTTTGGGCACGGGCCCGTTGAGGGAGACCGAGACCCAGAAGAGCGGGACGGCGCCGCCTGCCGCAGTGTGCTGCGGCGGCTCGGCGGCCCAGCCCTGCAGAGCAACGCACGATGCTTCGTAGGCGGCGCGAGCTTGATCAAGAGCGCCGGTCCAGGCGGTCATCTCGGACGGTGAGCCAGCCTGGAAGAGGTAGACGCGGAGCGAGGTCTCGACAGCAAAGACGAACTCACGCTTCTTGGGTGGAGGGTCACACACGGCGACCGCGATGACTGAGTCGAGCGGGATGCAGCCGGCCGGCTCTGCATCGTCGTCCTTCTTGAAGTAGTACACAAAGTTGGTGGTCAGCACCACATACCGTCGCTTCCATGACTTGCGCACCGCGCCCTGCTTGTGGAGAAAGCCCTCTTTCAGCACGGGCGTCAGGAACCGCTGTCCACTCATGGGTTGGGAGAGCGGGGTGTGGCGGTGGTTGTGGTGGTTGTGGTGTGTATGTGTGTGTGCGGAGTGGGGGAGTGTGTGTGTGTGGGGGGGATGGCCTGATGGGGGGAGTAGTGGTTGTGGTTGTGTGGTTGTGTGAGTGTGTGTATGTGGAGTGGTGTGTGGAGTGCGTGTGCGTGTGGAGGTGTGCGGGGGAGGTGGCTGTTGGCTGTTGGCTGTTGGCTGTCGGCTGTTCGCTGTTGGCTGTCATTCTCCAACCTCCGCGTTTTGGTTTTATCGCATGCCAGTTCGTCGCTGTGCCGTTCCGGGGCAATGTATTTCGCCGTCTGACCAGGTGGGGAAGGGGGGGGGGGAGGAGGCACGAGGATACTTGTCTTCACGGGCGAAAGAGGAGGGCGTGCATATTGCTGGCGATGTCGCGTATGTGGGATGTGTGGACTGGGATGGGTGGGCTGGGTGGGATGGATGGCGTGATGGGTGTGTGATGGGTGTGGGGTGGGGTGGGTGGGGGGGGGGGGGGTGAGGTGGCGAGGGCGGGCATGTTCTATGGCTGGCGGTTGGGGCTCACTCGGCAGAAGGAGGTGGATGTAGGCGTCAAAACGGCTGCACAGGGCACAGTTGCCGAGGTGGAGACGATTCAGGGTGAAGATGCTCTCGAGGCGCCTTTGCTGGAGCTGGTGCTCAAGCCAGAGCAGCAGGCCGAGGTGCGTCTGCCGGTGGCGGCGATGACACCTCCGGCGATCGCGGCGCCAGCTGGCGCGGTGGGGGCGCCAGTCTTCTCGATGACCACCGTTGCCATGATCGACGGCCTGGTCGAGGCATGCAGTGACGATGACGATGGGGCCTATGTGTCGAAACCAGTGCTGAGCTTGGCGCAGCGCGCTGCACTTCGCAAGGCCAAGATGGAGAGGGAGGCCAAGGTTGCAGAGGCGCGTGCGATGGGCGCGCAGCTGAGGGCGGCGCGTGAGGCTGCAGCTGTGGCTGAAGCCCAGGCAGAGCCGGTTCAGGAGGAGCCGGAGCACTCGCAGACGCCGAAGCGCGGGCAGCCAAGGCCGCACTGGAAGAGGCCAAGATGGCGTTTGCCGAAGTGTGGATGCAACAACGGCAGCCAGTGTACAGAGTGCCGGCGATACAACCGCGGCAGTGGCAGCAACCAGTGTACAGAGTGCAGGCGCGACGGCTGCACGCACAGGCGCGGCTCGCCATCGTCACCGTCCTGGCCCAGCAGGGCGCGACTGGCGGTGGCGGTGGCTTCGATCCGACTCCGATCGGGGTCGGAATCGACTCGGACGACACGTCGTCAGGAACCGATGTCGTCAACATGGCCAACTGGACGGACTCGGACTCGACGATGAGCGCAAGCGATGCGCCTCTGGCAACAGCCATGTTTGGAGGAGGCGGCGGAGGCGGCGGAGGCGGCGGAGGTGGCGGGGATGGGTCTTGGAGCAGTTTGAGCGGCTCGGAATCTGATTGGAACGGCAGCCTGGACTCGGACTCGGGGGAGACCCGAGCTCCCGGCCAGGAACTGGAGACCGAGTCAGAATCAAGCTCAGCAGCAACGCGGGCGCCCATGTCACGGCGCAGCGGGGGCGGCAGCGGAGGCGGCGGTGGCGGCAGCGGTGGCGGTGGCTGGTCCAGCAGCGGATCGGACTCCGAGTCTAGTTCCGACTCGTCAGTGCCGACACGCACGGGTGGGTTGAGACATACTGCAGCGGATGGAGGACATGATGCATTCAGTGGAAGTCGTGTCGTGCACAGCTGCGACGCGTCTGGCGGTGGAGGCAGTCGTTTCCTCTCTGGACGTGGTATTCTAGCTGGAGGCCGCTACACTCCGAGCAGTGGTGCGCTTGCGGGCGATGACGGCCATGCCATGCGTGCCGGCGATGGCGTTCGTTACATCCCGAGCGGTGGCGTGTCTGGTGGCGACGGCGGTCGTTACATCCTGAGCGGTGGTGCGTCTGCTGGTGATGGCGGCCACTACGTGTCTGGTGGCGACGGCGGTCGCTACGTGGCCGGCGGTGGTATGTCTGCTGGTGATGGCGACCATGCCATGCGTGCCGGTGATGGCGTTCGTTACATCCCGAGCGGTGGCGTGTCTGGTGGCGACGGCGGTCGTTACATCCTGAGCGGTGGTGCGTCTGCTGGTGATGGCGGCCACTACGTGTCTGGTGGCGACGGCGGTCGCTACGTGGCCGGCGGTGGTATGTCTGCTGGTGATGGCGG